TGGTAGCCAGGGAGACAGTATGCATCCCCCCACTGATCGGATGCCTCCACCTGGCCTGACCCACCTTTGTATCTGGGCTTTGTTACCTGAAGCTGGTTTCCGGGACTTGTCTCCAAGTAAATCCCCTGGGGGAAGGGGAGCAGGGACAGTTTCTAAATAGGTCCTTACACCCATGTTTTTGTTCAAGTTGATTAAATCTGAGGAATGTCTGCGTCCAGGAACAGAAGCCCACGTGTGTGCCTTCAGCAGCCTGTGGTTATCAAAATCCTCAAAGGGCCAAGTGCTAGGCTTAAAAGGAGCTAACAGTGGGCCAGAGGCAATGCGGAAGACCAGCAGCATCCCCCAAATCTCAGAAACGTCCCCAGGGTTTCCCCGATCCTCCAGAGCACCTCCAGAATCCCAGCACTATCCCCAGAATTACAGTAACACCACGAAAACTCCTGGAACCTCGGTGTCACCCCCAGAACGTCAGTATTGTACCAGGACCTTGGTCAAACTTTGGTCACTTTCCAAGGAGCATCAGACACAGACAAATCAAGCACAAGTTGGGGCCTGATGGTCTGAACTACGGTGAGAAGTTGGAGAAGGTCCAGAGACCCCATTGCCCACCACCCTCCCATCCCAGCCCAAAACTTTTGCTCCACAAAAGTTGCACAGCACCCAAACTTCAATGACCCCTCAGGGAGCCTCGGTACCATCCCTGATCCCTGGCTTTGCAGCAGAAAATGCCCAAGGGATGTTTGGTCCAGGAGAAGGGGTATGGCCTCCTGTGCAACTTGGTCCTGCCCATGAGGTCCCATGTGGAGAGGCAGCCAAGTCAGGTTCAACCCCATGCAGGCCAATGAGCTCCGGGTCTGCCCCTGTTGACACAGCATCCATGTATCAAACTGACACCGGTGCCTAACCTGTCCCCAGACACAGATTGGCCCCACTCAGTGGCTGGAAGGTATGTCGCTGATGCTAAGCTCATGACAGGAGAGTGTGGATGGCTCTCTACCCCTTCACTCTCTACCTCCTACCTCCCTTGCCATGAGGGTAGATCAGAAGCATCACCCGAGGGGCGCCTGGGTGGCTCAGTAGGTTAAAGCCTCTGCCTTCGGCTCAGGTCATGATCCCAGAGTCCTGGGATCGAGCCCCACATCAGGCTCTCTGCTCGGCAGGGAGCCTGCTTCCCCGTCTCTCTCTCTCTCCCTGCCTCTCTGCCTGCTTATGATCTCTGTCTGTCAAATAAATAAATAAAATCTTAAAAAAAAAAAAAAGAAGAAGAAGAAGAAGAAGAAGCAGAAGCAACATCACCCAACATGCCCTTCCTGGAATTCTCCTGTCCCCCTCACCACCAACACCATCAGCCATGAGGGATCTCAGCCAGACTGCTCTGGTGTGAGTGTAGACACTGGTGAGGAGTAGGAGGAAGGTAGCTGTCTGGACCCGGGAGCAGCGTGTCCCTCCCCTCCCAGAGAGCTAGGCTAGAACTGACTCAGAGGAGGGAAGCTAGGGAGGCCAATTTCAGCCCAGGACAAAAGTAGCTTTCTTACTCACACAGAGGAGTGAGCCCCCAATCAGGGGAGGTAATCAAGAAGAGGGTGGTAGCATCAAGGTGCTACGGAGGGTTTCCAGCCTTCAAAGAAGGACTGGCCAGAAGGCCATGAAGATTCCCCCAGCTATAGGAGCCCCGGATTCTCCTTCCTGGCACAGCCTTCCTGGCATTTTATCACCATGGTCTGGCCTTGAGATGTAGGCTTTGTGCTGCCCTCCCTCCTCCCTGAAGAACTGACTGTTAGGCAGATCCCCTGGGTTCTCTCTCTCTCTGAGTTCTCTCTTCTTGTTCCCTGATGGCCGCAGGCTAGGGGTCTCCATCCGCCTCTCCCAGAAAACCATACTCAGACACAACACTTCTGACATCTCCCTGTCTTTGGAGTCGACATTGGCCCCCAGAGTACTCCCAGTACAGCCATCTCCAGGTCTCCAACTTCATCCCTCAGAATTGCTTCCCCTACCAATCCAGCCACCTTCCTGCCTCCAAAGCCCTTGTTGGGGCTCTGTGCCCACTGAAGTGCTTTGTCTCTCTTCCCCCACCTCTTCTGGTCCTACCTGGCCCACGAGGCTTGGCTCTAGGCACAGAGTACTCCCCAACAACTGAGGCCTCCTCCTCTGAGTGCGCCAGCCCCAGCTCTGGCTAGGATCCCGGAGGGCTGGCTGCTTGCGAGGTCTCAGCAGACGGCCCCCAAGCAGGGTCCCCAGCACCTGCTTTGGAAGGTGTTTGATCTCCTCTTCCCAGAAAGCTCCCTCCTTCCCGCTGGCTCTGGCCCTGCCCCTCCTCCCACCCCTCAGGCCTCTTTCCCCTACCCCAGGCCTCCCGCCTGTGCAGAATCAGAGAAGCCCACCCCACCCCCATCTCTCCAGCTCCGGCCCATGGCCAGGCTGGGCCCCACAGAGCACACAGGATGTCTTGTCTCCAGAGGAGCCTCTCCACCTCCAGAAACCATTTGCCCGAAACTTGATCTCCCTGGCCCTCAGAGTCACCTCTAGTGAAGAAGCTTGCATAGGGCTTTGATGGCTGAGTTTCCCCAGCTGTGGCCCTGGATGGGCTCAGGAACCCCCTACCTCCTCTCATTTGTCACCATTCATCACCCCCAGGAGGCCATGACCTGATGAATTGCTCCAAGCCAGAGGGGAACCACCGGCTAAGCTTTTAATAACCCGATCAGCCTCCCACTGCTGCCCAGCTGGGCTGAGGGCCCTGAGCACCAGAAGGGGAACTTTGTCACACTTTCATGGGGCTTTGGGGCTTGAGTTTCAGAAATAATCCACTAAGGGGGGAGAGCCTTCTCCTCAACTCCTCATGGCCCAGTCTCTCTCTGGAAGAAGGCTGGGGTACTGGGGCCTGCTATTCATCCCAAGCCCATGCCTTCGACTCCCTGAGGATGCAGGGACAGTGGGCCGATCTCCATCGGTCCATCCGTCCATCCACTGGAGGTGATCTCCATCCCTCTGTCAGCTGGAAGCAGGCTCAGGCTCACCATGCTCTCCCCTCCTCCTCCTTCTAGAGGAGGTTCCCCAGAGGGGTAAACAGCACTAGGGAAGGGAAGGAAACACTAGGGAAGAAGATGGGAAGTGATAAAGATGGCAGAGCCCTAAATCCTCAGGCGATAGATGCCTGGGGAGGCCCCTTCCTCCACCTCCAAGGAGAAGGGAGGTACAGTTAACAAAAGTGTGGGCAGCCTAAGGAACACAAGTTTTAGGCTGTGAGATTGGATCCCCATGATGGTGAAGACCCCAGACAGAGGGCACAGCGTGAGAAGAGATTTTTACACAGAAAGGGGTAGACTCACAACTCAAAGAGAGAATTCACCTTCGGCCCATTTTCAGGAACTCTACCCTCAAAGAATATTTGCATGTATAGGCAGGAAAGTGGGCATCTCCCAAGGCCATTGGTAATGCAAAACTTGGCAATGAGCCCAATATCCATGGATCAGCTTTGCTAAGTCTGTACGGTAAGGTACTTGCTCATGGCCTGGCATGGTGAAACCGCCAAGACAGTGCCAAGTACAATAACCACGAATGCAAATTGCTAAGCAGTTCGTAAATCACAATCCCACTCCATGTTGCTTTCAACTAGGTGTGCACACACACGCGTGCATGTGTGTGTGTGTAAATAACATTAAAAAATGAATCGAGAAGACACACAGCAGATTGTTCATAGTGGTCACATTTGGGGGAGAAATGACTTTGTGCAAGTGAAGGGGGACTTTCATTTGTTTGAAATGTATATTTAAAACCTATCTATCTGTCTGTCTATTTATTCAACTAGTAAATCAAAGGAAAACACGTTAAGGTTGTACTGAAGCCTGTTGTGTGAGAGGAGCTGTACAGGCATCTCTGAGCTGTGTGAAACAGATTCAGTCCCCAGCCTGGTACTGCACATCCCCCTGGCCTCTCCTGAAGCTTACATACAGCCCTAAGACTAGGTATTGGCCAATAAGGTGGAAAAAGAAGTGTTGACTATAGCTTCTGAAAAGAGATATTCTTTAAAAGAGCGATGTTTTCTTTACTCCTTCTGCCTTCCAGATGGCTGAAATGAAGTTGCAATGGCTGGATATCAGGCAGCCATCTTGGATTATGAGGTAGAGATCATGAGTTAAATAGGACAGAGCAGTAAATTAGCTGCAAAGAAAAAGCCTGAGCTGAGGCCAGATCTTAGGCCAGAAGGAGATCTCAGAGACCCCTGCTCTACCCATATTCACCAACATATCTAGAGGAAACTGAGGCTCAGAGAAACGACATGATATGCCAGGGCAGTGACTGAGCTAGAAGTCTTGCCAGAGATCCTCCCTCTTCCTACCCTCTTTGTACACACAGAGCTCACAGGTCCTTGCCCAGAAACTGCCCTTTCCAGGGTTTGGACTCTGCTCCCTTCTGAGGTTAGGGACCCTGTCTGGGACCCAGTCCCTGGAGTTCGGCGAAGACCCCCAGAGTTGGTTAAAACGCCCGCCTGAGACATACCTCTCAGCATTCTGTCTGATAAGAATACAGCAGAAGCTCTGCCCACTGGTGCCTACCGGTGGGTGTGTCTGCCATTATCTCCCATCTGGCTCCTTTCTCTCTTTCTTTGTCCTGTCCTTCTGCGGCCAGTCTGTCCCAGTCCATCAGTCTCTCTTGCAATCCCTGTTACTGTCTCTCTCTCTCTCCCACCCTCACCTGGTCTGGCTCAGTCTGCCTGTCTCCCACCTTTCTGTCCCTCCTTCTACCTCTCTGTCTCTGCCTCACTCTCAGTCCATCTCTGTGTCTCTCCCTCTCTCTACTCCGTCTTTCCCTTTCTGTTCCTCTCTCCCGCTCTTGGTTTTGTTTTTCTTGGTTTTGTTTTTCTCTCTGTCTCTCTGAGCCTGACGGTGAAGCTGGTCTCTCCGCCTAAAGGTTCCAGGCGGCACCTTTTCTGGGGCTTTCTTGAGTGCTTAAGTAGTTCTTCCCCTGCCCACTCCTGTCTCTCCCTCCCTGCTTACCTGCCCCGTCTGGCTCCAGTGCAGAGAGAAGGACTGGTGCTGGTCTCTGCACCCCCCAGAGTCTGCAGGGAGCTCTTGGAGCTGGTAGCACAGCTGAGCAACCATAGGAGGCAAAGGTCGGTGCTGCTGATGCTGTCAGAGACACTAATGCCCTTTGCTTTCTGCTACCTCAGGAAATGTATCCCTTCTGAACCAGGAAGAGGGGCTGTCAGACAAGCCCAGGGGTCACAGGTGCAGCCCCAGCTCCTGCCAGCTAGAGGGCTGCAGGCATGACCTGAGACTCGCAGGACAGTACTCCGTGCCAAAGCCTGGAGCAGGAGGCCAGGAAGGGGAGGCTAAGCAGCCTGATGGTGCCAGAGACATGGAGATGGGATCCAAGTTACCACTCAGAAGGGAGAGTCTCAAGGTAGCCAGACCCCGGCCCTAACCCCCACTATCAGTGGGGGGAAGAAACCAGACTTCTCATTTTGCCTTTACCAGTTACTGAGTGACCACAAAGAGGCTCTTTCCTGCTCTCGGCCTGTTTTCCTATCTGTGCAATGGAAAGGGGCTGCCATGGCTCGCTTTACCAGTGCTGAGTCCAAGATTCTATCACCCTGTAGGTTTCTGGTGCTGTGACTCGAAGGGAGTGGGCCCGGGACTGTTCCATTGGGGGTGGGGAGGGGGCAGCGGCAGGAGGGGAGAGGCTGCTGGAGGGAGGAGGCTGGATACTGAAATCACAACACTGGCCTGCGAATCAGGAGGCCTGAGGTCCAGGTCCATCCCTTCACTCCTCGACCTGATCTCTCTGAACCTCTGTTCCCCATCTGTAGAAGGGGATAATTGTGCCAGCACTATTGGGAGGATCCAGGAACTCACAGATGTCCCTGCTGGGAGGATTCAGCTCTGAGCAGAGACCAGGGATTCAAGGGGGGAGCTGGAGATGGCTCCCTGAGGATGGGGATGGGCCCACATCCCGGGGAAGAAAGAAGACTGGAGGGCTCCACTAAGGTTTTTCATGCTGGGGCCCAGGAGGGAGCCTTGGAAGTCAGCGCTGCTGCCTCCCATTCTCACCCACACCGTGGCCCTTCCTGACTCCTGCAGGAGCCAGGCCTCTGCCTGCAGTTTCACTCTTTTGAAAACCATAGAAGATGGACTCAGGGAGACAACTAGGAGTAGAGAGAATCCTGGGAAGGGAGTAGGGAACTGGTCCTGGTCTGCTACCCCAGGCTCAGTGTTTCCATCTGTAAAATGGGAGCACTACCCAGCCCTGACCTGATAAAATTCACTGAGGTTTCCAGACTTTCTTTGTGGAACTGAGGCCAGGCCAGGCCCAGAGGAGCCTAAGCATTAGGAACCAGTACCTCCTGGGGCACCTGGGTGGCTCAGTTAAGTGTCCAACTCTTGATTTCGACTCAGGTCATTATCTCAGGGTTCATGGGATTGAGACCCATGTTGGTCTCTGTGCTCAGTAGGAGTCTGCTTCTCTCCTTCTCCCTATCCCTCTCTGCCCCTTTGCTCTCTCTCTCCTCTCTCTAAAATATATAAATAAATAAATCTTTTTTAAAAATCTTGATGAACAAATAACAAAAAAAGAACCCCTACCTCCTGCCCTGCCACTCACCCCTGTTTTCCCGGCGGGGCACCAGCCTGCCCAGTGAGGCACCAGGATGCATCCCTGAGTCCAAGCATGAGTCAGAAGCCCAAAATGCTCTTCTGTTCTCTCACATGGAATCTAGTTGAAGTAGCAAAAGCAACATTTCTTATTCTTTTCTGTATAAGCAAAAGCTGGGTAGGGTTTGAACATCCACTCATTTAACCTTTCTTTCATTCATTCATTCATTTATTCACGCACTCATTCATTTACTCAATAATCCTTTAATGGTCCCCCAGGTACCTATCCCTTGCTCGGCCCTGGCCTGGACACACAGACATGATCCCTGAAAGAATATTCTGCCCAGCATGGCAAGTCATTATCTGAGACAGAAGGAGGAAGGTGCAGAGTGGAGCAGAGGAGGGAGTCCCAGACCCGGTTCCAGCAGGATGCATGGGGTGACAGCAGGTGTGGCTGGGCGGTTGGGGCAGAGGGACAAGCACCTGCAAAGGCAGGGGAGGGGAGACAAGGTGGGCCTGGCCTGGGGCAAAAGTAAGCCTCCCTGGGCATTAGGCTAAGTGAAATAAGCCAGTCACCAAAGGTCAAATACTGTGTGACTCCACTTAGATGGGGAGCAATCACATTCATAGAAACAGAAAGCGGAAGGCGGTTGCCAGGGGCTTGGAGCAGGGAGGAATGGGGAGCCGTTGTTTAATGGGTGTAGAGTTTCAGTTTCATAGGATGAGAAGAGTTCTGGAGACAGGCTGTGCAATAATCTGAATGTACTTAACATTTGCTGAATGGCACACCTAGAAATGATTAGGATGGTAAACTTTACATTATACCTCTTTTGCCATAATTGCAAAAGGTAGCTATACACACACATACCCCAAAAATGAGCCTTTCCCAGAGACTGAGTTGGGAAGGGAGGCCGGATGTGGGAGGGATGGGAGACCCTTAAAACCATGCTGAGACCACCATGGTCACCCCAGACCTTTTATAGAAAGTGGGAGGGAGGGGAAGAAGAGAGGAAAGCAGGAAGAGGGAAGTGTGGCATGGCTCGGGGTAAATTGACTAGGAAGAACAGTTGTGTTCATGGGATCTGCTCGAAGGGACTTGGGGCTGGGTACAATGCAGAGGTTGGCCCCAGGGCAGAAGGGAGTGACTCCCGTCTTGTAACATCTCTGGGGGTCACTTCAAACATGAAAGGGAAGAGAGCTGTTTCGGTTGAATCACTGAGTCTCCTTCGACCTTGTAGGGGAAAACCATGGCTTCTAGACCCAGATTGGTTCGTCAGGCCCAACCATTGAGGCTAAGGTTTCCAAGTGGCCTCTCTTCCCCCAAATGGCCAGACTCTGGGCTTTCTCCCTATGACTTACAGAGTTGCAGACTGCCAGAGCTGTAGGAAGACCTAGCACCCAACTCACACTTATGGTACAAATGGGGCCACTGACACCCAGAGAGGGAAAGGGATCTACCCAAGTTCACGTGCAAGTCAAGAGACTAGAACTCTGGTCTTCTAAACCCTCGTTGCCTCAATTTCTCCTTGGGCAAATCTGAAGGAACTGGATTCTAATCATTGCAGAGAAGCCTACCACATACATTGGGACTCTTGGTAGGGCTGGCCAATGCCATCTTTAGACTGGTTATCTTTTATTTGATGGAAAGGACACATCCCGCTAAGGTGACTTCAAATGAAGTCTAGAGTGAAATCTATGCTAATGATACCTGTGGTTCTTGGACTCAGAACTGTACTTGTGCAGTTTCAGGATACAGAAGCCCATGAGAATATGAATTTCCATCTTCGATCCAGTCCCAGGACAAGTTTAGTACAGGAAAATGTAGTGATAGGTACAGATCTCAGCTCAGGTTACTTGCTAGCCGTGTGATCTGAGATTCTCTCAGCCTCAGAGTCTTCATCTGTAAAATGGGAATGATTATATCTACATCGCAGAGCCACATAGAGTGCCTGGTGTGCCGTAGCTGCTCAATGAAGAGTATCGTAAATGATGATGATGATGATGATATTGGAGGTGAAGATGGTGGTGATGGTGGTGATGGTGATGATGGTGATGACGATAGTGATGGTGATGGTGGTGGTGATGGTGAAGGTCGTAATGATGGTGATAACAGTGGTAATGGTAGTGATGGTGATGATGGTGATGGAAGTAGTAATGGTGGTGACGATGGTGATGGTGGTGATGGTGATGTGATGGTAATAGTACTGGTGGTAAAGTTGATGATGGTGGTGATAGAGAAGGTGGTAATGGTGATGGTAGAGATGAAGAGTGAAGAGTGTTCAGAATTTCCCCTCTCCTGTTGGGTATCAGCAGGACCCAGGCTCAGGAAGGACGGATTCCAGTTTGACAACTCTTTAGTGTAAGAAGCTTTGGGCTCTCTATAAAGTGAAGCTGTGCCCGATATTGTGAGTTTTGATTACAAGGTCAGACTGGTTCCAGAAGCAGGTGCTAAGGCCATGCTCCCAGAGAACAAATACTGTCCCTCTTCCCTTGAGACTTCCCCCAATTCACCAACTCTTGGGAATGAATAGGCATATAGAGAAAGGCTCTCCCAGAAATGGAAAGTCCTGAGAACCTCATACCCTATGCTCCCCACACCAGTACTCCTCATCCCTGACCCTGCACGAGTTCTCTCACAGAATTATCATCTTCTAATATATATTATAATTTACTTATTTCCTCTATTTTGTGCCTGTTTCTATCTGTCCCAATCTCACTCCCCCAATAGAAGAGAAACTTCAGGAGGGCAGGAACCTTCATTTGTTTCACTGCTGTATTAGAAATGCCTAAGATGGTGCCTGGCACACATTAGATGCTCAATAAATATTTGTTGAATGAACAAAGGCTAAAAGGGAGGGATCGATGTCAGCCTTTGTTCCCCTACGACCGATCCAGCTTCCTGGCTTGTTACCTGGTTTCTCCTCAAACAAACAGAAAGGGCTGGGGCATAACCCTGAGCACCCAGTGTACAGGCTTTCAGACTGGGCTCAGGCTGGGGCTGTGGGAGGAAGGGGGCAGTGCTCAGCCTGGGGGTCAGTCCCCAGCAAGTTCATGGCCTTCAGGGGGCCTGAACCCTGGGTCCCTGCATCCCTGCAGAGCCAGAGGCTGAAGGCTGAGGAGAAGATACTGGATCTGGAATTTGAAGTCTTAAGTGTGGGGTTTAACGAGGAGGGCAGATATGCCCTGCGGCTGACAGCTGAGAACCCCCTACAGTCTGGCTCTGGGGCTGGGGTACAGTTGCAGGTAAATGATGGGGATCCCCTCCCTACCTGCTCTGTTGTCACTGACATGATCGAGCAGCAGGATCCTGGCCAGAGCCTCACCCTCACCAGGAACAAGTTTGTCTTTACTTTGCCCAAAGGTACGAAGTACGGTGGTGGTTGCGGGGAGAGAAGGGTCCTATTAACTCCTGCCCCCACCAGTCAGGGACCCCAGGGAGCCTCAGGGAAACTGGGAGGGTTCAGATTGGATCCCAAA